CAATAGTTGCCCGGAGTCAGGAAGTTGGCGGTGTCTCACCCCCGTGCCTCGGAAAGCACGTAAAGCCGCTGATCCTGCGCCTGATCTCTCTCCGGTCGTGTTGGCTTACCGTCCCATCGGATTATGAGAGTGAACATAGTGTGTGCCTGTGCTTGTGCATATATTTGGACACTATAATCCTATATCTAGTCGATATCTAGCTTCCGTTGAGGCAGGCTGCCGTGACCGAAATTCGGTCTGGACGACATTATAACGGAATTGCTAGAGAACCCTATCACAATTCTCGGTGACTTTAATAGATAATAATTAAATTATGATAAGTTCAACTACAACTACTACCGTATTTTCTGGCCATATAAAGACTGTATAAGCGCTATAGGACACAAATTGGAAATTTGACAACGTCCAATGACTTGTTGCAACTTGTACCACATCCGCATCCGCTAAGACTCCGTGTCAATTATTGCGGATGCGAAAGCGAATTGTAAATCTACGTCGAAGTTCCGCATTTGCGGCTGCGGATGCAAATATCCGCAATATCCTTGTTTTTAAATATCTAGCTCGGGGAGGTAATCATAACGCTGAACATAGGTCCTTTATGGTTGTAGGGTCGATTTTCAATGCGTCACGCATGAAAGGCGGATTAATGGTAACAGTATATACGTGGTAGAGCCACGCTGCAGCTATATTATGGTTGTAGCACGAATGAGTCGGATCGACTGTAGAACGACTACGCTCTCAAAGAATGCCAGCATGAAATAGCTACTTAACGCTGTTGTGTTTCGTAAGTGTAGTAGTGTAGGTGTAGTAGTGAAGAGGCATTCCATTCAAGTGCTCAGGGTGACATCGCATTCACATTTTGATTCTTATTTATTTATTTATTTTATTCTTTATTGCACCAAAAATTTTGTACAAAAGGCGAGCTTAATGCTATATGGCATTCTCTACCAGCTAACCTTGGGTAGAACAGAGAGTGAGTTATAGGCAGTAAAGTTGTCATGATCACATTCAATTCAAATATATACATCCTACACATACATAATATATATATATATATATATATATATTATATATACACGTACACATATAAATAATATAACTAATACACATATTTATACATATATATCTCAAATTTATATAAAAATAACTATAAACATATAAAGTAAGTGGACTCAAATTTGTTGGTTACGGATATATTTGTAAAGTATTTTTAAAACGTTTTTGGCAGGTATTATTCGCAGGGGAATTTATTCCAGAGGGAGAGGGAAGTTACTGTGAAAAAATTTGATATAAACCGAGAATAGTGGAGAGGAGTTGACAGTAATAAATTGTGTGAAGATCGGAGATTGAGAGAATGAGTGTCACTACGGAATTGGAATCTTTCTTTTAGGTAAAAGGGTGAGGAAGAATCATTAAGAACTGAAAACAGAGAGGACAGCATTCGAACATCTCTGCGCTGGCGTATAGTCAACCACTTTAATTAGGAGCGAATTTCTGATACTTGATTATATTTGCGCAGACCAAAGATGAATCGTATGCAGTTGTTAAGTAACCTGTCCAACCTGCTTAGCAGCTTCTGAGAGATATTAGAAAGTACAACATCGGCATAGTCAAATAATGGAAGAATTAGAGATTGGATGAGTAGAACCTTAGTTGAAGATTAATGTCTATGAGTCACAGCATTTTCATCTCATTTCAGACTTAGGTACTGTTAAGAAAAGAACCTGCTCCTTTTTAAAAGGCCGGCAACGCACCTGCAATTCCCCAGGTGTTTCAGTTGTTCATGGGAGGTAAATATCAGGTAAGCCGCATGCTCGTTCGTCCCCTCTTATAATACATTAAAAAAACTTTTCTAGACACTTTTTTGTTTAAGATATAACCAAAGAGAATAAAAATATTATCGAGCGATAGACGGGACAAAGCAGTCAAAGGAAGTCAGACGGTCCATTATTTGTCTATTATCTGTATTAGACAAGCCGCTTAGTGACGCGTAAAATCAGACTACGAAAGGCCGCATTCATGTGCAATAGCTTCGACCAAAAGAAAATAATTTTCTAAGAAATTAAACCGAATGCGTTGAAGTTTTTTCTAAATATTTTAATACATGTTATTGCTATTTGAACTTAGATTTGCGTTTGATTAACGTTGGCATCGCAATATATTTATGAAAATGTCATGTATGTACATAAAACATAAAATAGCTTTCATAAGAATAAAGATGTTAATACTTTAAATACTAGAAACAAACATAAGCTTGTAATACCAGTTACTAGACTCCACAGAATTAGTAATTCATTTATGGGGCAATGTATACGCTTTTACAACAAAATCCCAGAAAATGCACATTAAACATTTTAAATATTTCATTGAAGAGAAATTGTACAAAATGGGTTATTATAATATCAAAGAATACGTAAATGAAAATGACCCCTGGGAATGATGTGATCGCCACCATGCTGGTTCTATAAAAATTAATTCAAAAATTGTGCAAAATAAATTATTGTAAAGTAAAATATGTTTAAAAAAAATTCCCGCTGGGTTTCTTGCTGGTTCTTCCAGGACAGAGGTTTTTTTACCGAAACCAGTGGTAAATTAAAAAATACTTTCAATAAGTAGATATTATGCAATAATCTATATTGAATAAAATAATTCATTTCATTTCATTTTAATAACATTGACCAAAAGAAAATAATTTTCGAACAAAATTACACCGAATGCGTTGAAGTTTTTTCTAAATGTTTTAATACACGATTATGTTATTTGAACTTAGATAACGTTACTGACGTACGAGATCAAAACTCTTGTATGACAACGTTCCCAATGGCCGCTCTACAAACCTTTGAATGTCATTGAGTATAATATATATAACAAGCGCGCGAATACGCACGCACACAATGTTTTTGTGCAAACATTAAGGTGATGTGGGCGAAAGTTAAAGATTTTTCTTAGTGAATTATGGTGGTCAAAACACGATTGACACATTTTGGCTCGATAGAAAAAGATCGCAAAGTTTCCTCAAATCTACAATTTTAGCTACTAGACGTACCTAAAATTGTAGATTTTGAGGAAAAAACTAAGTGAAAAAGCAGTTTCATTCGAATGTAATGAAATCAATTTCAATTAAATTCAGGCTATGTGTTCACCAATAAATACGTATGTGAATAATGGGTTTATTTTTCAATAAAAGAGTATATATCATTTTAAAAAGAAATATCAAATAAATATTGTGCGATTAAACAGCGCGCGGGCCGACCAAACAGTTATAAAGCGTGAAAAATCTGTTTTTGGCGCCCACTTCACCTTAAAGCATTAACAGTTACCCCGTGTTATACAAGTATGGAGGCTAAAGCTCGCTTAATTGCGGAATTTCTCTGATCCGTTACGTTCATTCGGAGTAGGAGTTGTGCGAACTGGTAACTGGTAGCATGCTGGATGTTTAATAAGCGTTTTCAATTCCGCGTACGTATTTGGGTTACGCAACTCACGTAATATATGATAATGAGGAATCGGATCCGGTTTGGCTCTTCAGCCATGAAACGCTCATCTGGGTTAGGGTTGACAACAACAGTGACTTTGCCTGAGCCCAAAAGAAATTAAATGAAATGTGTTTCGTTTTTCGACGTAAGGAAACAAAGTTTCTATGGTTTGTCAAACGTAATTTTTTTTAAACCTAATAAATCTTCTACCGTTTTGAAATGAGGTTCCTCCGATCGAAATAAATTCCTAATATATCCTATTTTTGTCAACAGGATGGACATCGAGAACAGACCCTGTAACTGAAGTGAACTGAAGTTTATGCTATGAAGGACTTAAAAGAAGACGATTGAAAATTTGGAGCATTAGAGCATATAGCGAACCTAAAGCAGAGCAGCCCCTCATAAATTAAAAAAAAAACTGTTGTTGCCAACACGTCTGCCAACCATGGCTACTATGACAAATATACCTTCTATGAAGCAATATATAGGGGAGGCCTATGTTCAGCAGTAGACTTGACTGATATGAGGTAGTGGACTTCTTAACGCCGCCGTAAATGCCCTTTGATGGACTGTAATGATAATGAAGTTGATGATAAAAGTCACTGTAAGAACAGGTACGTAAACTAGGCTGTTTACGTTTTTTTTATAGGATAGGGAGACAAACGAGCACACAGTCCATCTGATGGTAAGTGGTTGCTGCGGCCCATAGACATCTACATCTTTCCTTGATTACGAATCAAAATGCAGATGCGTTGTCACCCATGAGGACTAAGATGGAATGCCTCGTTTCAAGTAAAAATAGTCTCCGATTCTCTACACTCACCATACGGAACAGCAGCATTAAGCTACTATTATACGCTATAGATGTAAACATCGAGAATTTTAAAAGGGAGCATATAAAAGATGCAATATTTCACGTACTGCGATCACAAATCCAAGTGTGGCCACACTTGGATTAAGGCACATTCTCTCTGAATCTGAAAGTTTGTTTAGATGTTTGTATGATTGTGGCTCAATCATGTAAAAACCACGGGATGGATTTTGATGAAATTTGGCAATATTATAGCTACCAAACCAGAACAGCAGATAGGCTAATTTTTTAGTTAAAAAGTTTAAGTCTATCCCAAACTTAAATCCATGGTGCAATAAAAAATTGGTCGGTTTTGAAATAAACGCGAGCGGAGCCGCGGGTAAAACCTAGTGTTTTATAATTATTCAGACTGTAATACAGATGCATTTTTTCTTTGGTTTCTTTACTTAACTTTTAATTCTTCTCCAAAATAAATAAAATAAGTAAGAAATACTTACACCAAAACAGTTGGGAACCCTAATCTGACTAGACTTGTTGAGAATTCAAAGCGGCCGGTGAACTCAATTTTTGAGTTCGCCAACGTGTGTTATTGAATGAAATTAGTTTTAGGGCAGTGGAAAAATATGATCATAATTATGTAATGTATTGCGCATAATTTATCATACATTTAGAAGTGATAGAGTCTACGACTACAAAACGTCTGGCGTACCTACCTACATCGTGTATTGTCATCTCTACATCTCTACAATCCACAACTATCTTTGTCAATCTTTGTTAATTACAACAAATAAAAGAAAGGATAAGAAAACATAATGACATAGGCGTATGAGAGCTATAAAAAACGAGGTTGATCTCAGTTTATCCAATTTCGGTAAAATAGACGTCCGATTAAGCGCTGATTCATGTGAAAGTGGCTCGCTTCGCGCGCTTTCTTGCGTAATGGCGGCCGATGTTTTGTTTTTTTTCGGCCAATCATCAAGATGCCTATTAAATTCTATCGAAGATAGAAAATGTAATAATAATTTGATAAAGATATTTTGTAATCGTCGACTCTTACGAAATCATCGTCATGATGATAAACCCTAGTTATTGAAATGTAATGTTTAGTTTAGTTTTTTTAAGTAAGTATTTAAAAAAATGAAAATGTATTTTTAAAATATTTTTCAAATTATTAAAAAGTACGCTGTGGTCTATTTAGTATTTACGCCCCAATGCTGCATAGGCGACAATCAACAATGTTGAGCACCGTGATTGTGGATTTGCTGAAATTGATTGAGATTGAGAAACTTATTGTAATATATTTTTTAATTATTTATTTACATAACATTCAGTTATACAGGGTTATTTTTTAAAGAGTAGATATAACGTCATTGCTGTTTTTGAAAATACGAGTAAATAAGGCTACTACTTTTATTTGAAATTTTCCCATATTGAATATTATATATTACAACATTTTTGCCTGCCGATCGATTCTTACGAGTGTGTGCGTGCGCTATATAATCAGTTAGAATAGTGCATTAGGTACCACGCATTTTGAATTTAAGAGAAAAAAAAAAACAATGTATGAGATTTTTTCTTCATCATTTGCCTATGTTACTTATTCTGAACCTGTGTCCTGTTATATGATGTGGCCACTAGCCTACATCATATAACAGGCCACACAGAACGTTTAAAAAAAAAAGGAAGGACTACGCTCTCACAGAACCATAGACACAGAACGCCGGTGTTAAATAGCAGCGTAACATATTTCGTATAGTGCGTATAGAGAACCGGAGAATCTTTTCACTGGAAATGAGGCATTTTACCTTAATCCTCAGGGGTGATATCTAAATTTTGATTCTTAAATTCTCTTGAATAGAATCTAATTAAAATTAAATAGAATCTCGAATAAAATCTTGAAGTAAGGTGTGTGTTGTACAATTCTTAATCGAGGATAAATGTAGATGTTAACGAGCCACAGCATCCACTTACCATCAGGTGGACTGTGTGCTCATTTGTCAGTTTTATTCTATAAAAAGTTTAAAAACAATTTAGTGATGTTAAAAATTCATTAGCCCTCCCTCAGTCTTAGTCCTCAGGGGTAACAACGCATCTGCATTTTCATTCTTAATCTAGTATAGATGCAGATGTCTATGGGCCTCAGCATACCCTTACCATCAGGGGGACTGTGTGTTCGTTTAAGCACGTAGATGCATTATCACCCTTGAGGACTAAGATGGAATGCCTCGTTTTTCAGTATAAAGGGTCTCCGGTTCTCTAGACTCGAACCACTACCATTCGAAACACCAGTATTAAGCTACCATTCTGTAAAAGGACCACATCTTTTGCCGGTCAAGTCATGCATCATGGCTCTCCCACGTAAAAAAAGTTTCATAATGTTATAGAATAAAAATATTTCGAGACTCAAAATTAAACAACGTGTGTCTCTGTTTTTGTAAGCTCAAAAGCTCAGCCTCGTTGTAATAAATAAACGCAACGTTTAATGTTTAAAAACTTTGTTTAAATTGTAATTTCGAGGCTAAGTTACCGGTTAAGGTGCCGTGTAAACGTGTTGTACAACCCAAATACATATGTCCGTATCCGTAATTCCCTGGTCACTTTCAACGAGGTCAATGGTTAAGAAATGATTTTGTTTTTTATTTTATAAAATTTAAACTAGTGAGTGTGATAAACGAGTGCGCAGTTCACCGAAATTATAAGCGGAAGCGGATACTGTGGCCCATAGACATTTACATATAGATAATATACTATAATAGGGCAATTTTTATTTAAGAGTTATACTGTATATATACCGCAGTATTTTAAAACTTTGATAGCGTGATTTAGACTTCGATACAAATAATAAATGTCAGCAGTGACGCCATCTTTTGAATACAAAGTGTAAATTAGTAAGGAAAATAAAGCTTTTACTAACTGTGAGATGGCTCTAGTACCAATGAAAACGCAAGCTACTGAGAACTTTCATACCCCTGGACATTTACGTTCATACTTGATTAGGAATCAAAATGCAGATGCGTTCTCTCCTTCTCTGAGACTCTCAGAATCATGTAACTCCCTATACGAAACACAGGAGCATAATATGTCGTTGTAGATTTGAGGATAAGCGCTCACCGTAATTTTTTTCTGTGCATCAATCCCCGAAGCCACCTATAAATTTGTTAGTTGTAATTTTAAGTGTTGATTTACCACCTCCTTGATGATGAAAGAAAACATTGTGAACAACTACAACATACGTCTTTTACGTGTTAGAGTCACGCTGCAACTATATTACGGTTTTAGCACGAATGGGTCACCTTGACCGGGGTAGGACCGCGTTCTCACAGAACAAACCTGACTAAGGAGCACATCCACCTGATGTTAGGTAGAAGCTGTGGCCCATAGACATCTATATCAATCCTCGATTAAGAATCAAATGCAGATGAGTCGTCACCCACGAGGGCTAAAATGTTTGCTATAGATATAGCTAATATTTGCTATTACATTACTATATATAGTATATATTATATGCTATAACTACTTTAGTATAGCTTTTTAGTATTGCTTTAGTTCATTAAGTTATATCCAATTCCATTACCTTTTGAAAACGTTTATCTGTTTAAAATTATACTTTTAAATTTCGAACATTTCCATTAAGCGTGGGAAGGAGATAAAAATAGAGCTTGTTTTCACTGGCATATTTTCACGGCTTGGCCTTGGTAATCTTGCGTCTTTTGTCTTAAATAGAAATTACGTCTTATTAAGATAACAAACAGGTTCCCTGGTTATTAATGAAAATATTTGTCCCATGTTATATCTCTTCAATCCCTTTTTTAGGATGTTGTGATGCGAATTTGATTTTTAGGGGTAAACAATAATTACATGAAAATAAAAAATTATATAAAGATTCTTATCTGTAAATTAGCACTCATTTACAAGTCAATGAAATCCAATTAAGGTCTGACTTAACTTTTCCCTAGGGCATTTCCATTAAAACGCTGACTGAATAATATTTATTTATAACATCTTATTTACATTTGCATTGCCACCAAAAGGTGGCAATACAAAAGGTTGGAATACAACGAAAAAAAAAACATTGTATTCCAGGGTTGTCTAATAGAGAATACTTAATGGCCTACAGTTTGCTTTGAATAATATTTTTTTCAAGCTTTAAATGAAACTATTTTTACGGATTTCATCGTGTTTAATTTTACTTTTTAATTCGTTTCCCCCCATGATCATGGGTGCTTTACAGCATCCATAGTATGACTGAGGCGTTCAACGTCTCGATATCATAGTTAGCCCGGCTACCTTCAGTTTTTGAATATTAATTTTTGGTCCGATCTACGATTTTTTAAACTGTTTAAATTTATCGTCATCATCATCTTTAAGCCCTTTTACAAGTCCATTGCAACATATACGCCTCCCCCGGCAATGCAACAAAGCGCGGTCTTCGCTTCGCTACCTACATCCATCTACTTTTCCGAATGTCTTACCAGATCGATATCGTCCCTTCATCTAGTGGAGGGCAACAATCCACTTCACTTGCCGTTAATACTGCCAAAGAACTGCCACCCTAGAGCTTTTATTCACTTCGTTTGTCGTTACGATGAGTTATATGACCGGCCCATGGCCATTTAGAAATAAAAAAAAAAAACAAAAAAAAAAAAACGTCAAACTCGGATACAGTTTGTAAGCTTCCATATTCATTCAGTTCATAAGTTATCCATAAATGTATACCATATATATAAAATTAAAGTGTCTGTTTGTGATATTAAAATAACTGACTTCTATTAAGCCTAGTGGGGTTCTTCGCACGCTATTAAGACAGAAACAACATTTATTTTTTCTCTGTCTGTCTGTCTACTCTGTGTGCTTGGGCTAATCTTCAAAATGGCTGAACCGATTGTTATAAAAGAGTTTTGGCGGGAACTTGGCCGTAGACGGATTGTCGCTCCTGTTTTGTCGCTTGAATAATGGTTTGAAGTGGATTTTGATTCGTAAAAGTGATGCGATTTTGTGAATTAAGTGTCTGCGTGTGTGAACTATTAGAAAAAACGACGAAACAAATGCTTTGATGTCGATATAAACCTCAAGTTATTTGGGCGCCTTATGAACTGGAGTGGCTGTCGTCATCAACTGTCCACTGGGTTGAGCTGTCTTCAAAATCTCCCAAGGGCTTCGCAATATGACGCATCAGCATATTGTGAAGAAAAAGAATATAAAAAAGAAGATTCCGAAAGAAATGATAGGCTCTGAAGGGCTAGAACACAGAGTCGTAAAGCCAGTTAATAAAATAAAAAGAGATTGTTATAAAACTTTACGAATAGATAGAGAGTTCTGCTAGGAGGTACCTATCTACGCTAATTTCTTTAAAAAAAAACGAATAATTGATGACATGAATGGCCTCTAATTAATTTAAAGCTAAACAATGCTACAATAATATAAATGTAGATCATATACAAGCAAAGCCTGGGCGGGTCGCTAGTGTTAAAATGTTGCAAGCTAAACAGTAAAACGTAAAAAGTAAGTAAACATTAGATACTTGAATCTAATTTCGTTTAAATAATAGAAACGACTGAAACAGTAGGTTACATTTTTGATGTTACATTTCGTAACAGCTGTGACGCGTACTTCCAATGTTTAGTTTCTAACGTTCAATGTGAATCCGTACTCATGTTGACTCAACGACCGTCAAACTTAGGTTTATCGAGCACGTTACAACATTTTATTGCATTGGCCACAAAAAATTCTCA